TGGGGGCCGGTTGTGTTGTAGGAACTGTTGGCAGCCACATGGCTGGAACAGTGCTCCCCTGGGAGCAGGAGGTCTGGGATGAGATGGGAAATAGGCAGGTGCCAGGTTGTACAGCACCCCCTACCCCACACCCCTACTCCCCTAGGCCACAGCAGGGAGTTTGCTTTTATTTATTTTTTTCCTAAATGCCATGAGAAGCCATTGGAGGTGGAGAATGGATGATGGGTGGGGGCAAGTCAGAGGGCCAGATGATGGACCAGGCTGGGGATGCAAGTGGGCAGAACTGAGCTCTATTTTGAAGGTAAACCCAACAAAATTTACTCATGGATCAGATGTGAACGAGCCGGGGGGACCCCCAGGTCCAGAGCAGCCAGGTGGATGGTGGCGGATAGTGGACTCGGGAGCTCTATTTTGCCTGAATATCATCTGAACTCCCTATTAGCCATCCAGGTAGGGGGGAGGGTGTAAGTAGGCTATGTCATGTTGAAGTCAGGAGCTCAGTGACAGGTGTCATGAAATCTGGGGGCCAGCTGTGGCTGGTAGAGAGCCATGGATCCAGGGAAAGATCCAGGGCAGGCCAACACTCCTAGGTCTGAGGAGGTGAGAGAGAGAGAAGGACATGTTGCAAGAAAAAAGGAGGGGTACTTCCCTGGTGGTCCAGTGGGTAAGACTCTGCTCCCCTAACGCAGGGGGCCCGGGTTTGTTCCCTTATCAGGGAACTAGATCCCTCATGCATGCTGCAACAAAGACCTGGTGCAGCCAAAACAAATAAATATTTTTTTAAAAAAGGAGGGATTGGTGGTGTTGGATGCTGCTAGGGGGTGGGGGAGGGGCTGGCAGAAAGCTGAGGCAAGATGATCTTGAGAGCAGTTTCAGTGGAGTAGTGGGGACAAAAGATCGGTATGCATCCATGGAAGAGAGGTAGGAGGGGCATGGATACAGAGAACTAAAGACAACTCTTTGGAGAAATTTGCTCTGAAGTGCAGCTGAGGAAATGGGTGGTACCTGGAGGGGGGAGTTCAAGGGAGTGTTTTGGGTTTTGTTTTTTAATGAGATACTATAGAGTTACTTCTCCAGGTTCTAAAATCTATAGGCATAGTGGCTAAAGGAGAAAACTCAGTTGAAAGTACTTCGGAAAGCCATTAAGTGCCTTGTGGAACCCAGAATTCAAGGTTGTGTCCACAGCCCAGTAAAGTCTGAGACTTCAAGGATGGGAATGAGAGGGAATGTGTGTGTGTTTATGTCCAGGTCCCTAAACCCCCTGTGTAAGGACTCACTGGGGCATGGAGGGTCGGGGGGAAGATGGGGAGTGTGGGGGGAGGGAGACCTGGAGCACCTGTATTTGCCCTCAGCCTCTGGTCCACAGAGGGCAGGTGGTGGGTGGGAGGACTAAAGGAAACAGCTTCTCACTTTGCAGCAGGGGTGTGTGGGTCAGGGGCTCTCTCCAGGACAACCAGGGGAATAGAAACCACAGGGGCAGAACGCAGGAGGCTATAGTGGGGAAGGGGTCAGAAGGGGTTGGTGTCAGTTTCTGTGAGAGTCAGGTCCATAGACCACTACGGGAGATCTTGACTGTGGGCTCCTGTTTCCTCAGTGAGCTCAGTCGTAAGGGCCTCAGATGAGGGAGGAGGCTGCAGTAAGGGGGTGAGAGGTGTCCCCTCCATTACAGGGTGGCTTCCAGGAACAGTTGGGTTGGAATGTCCAGGTGTTTGGGAGCTGCTGATGACATGGGGAGGCAGATGTAGAAGCCTAGGCATTCTGAGATGAGAGGGGCTGAGGGCAAAATGGGTGTCTTTTCAGGGGTCCAGCCCCTGCACCTCCCACATGGAACTTTGCTTCCTGGGCAATCAGCCTGCCTGTCTTCAGCTCCTCTTCAAATCTCCATCCCCCACCCTGCTGTCTGGGGGAGTCTGTGCCATGGGCTGCGGGTCTACCTAAACGGTGACCTAGAGACGGTCGCTAGGCTGAGTTGAGGGGATACCCATGAATGGAGGTGACCCCATGTCTCCACCCAAGCTCTGCTCACCACAACCAGAGAAGCACGTGGCCAGCCCCGAGTCAGTCGTGGTCAGAGTCCCGCAGGTCTCTTCTGCAGCATCTTCTGCAGTAGTAGGGAGCAGGTTGCTCAGGGCCATCCTGACCCCCAGGCCTTCATCTGCCAAGGAGGGCACCCCATGAAGCTTTGCTCCTAATGCTCTCTTAAATCGCTGGGAGGCAAAACCAGGTCAGCCTCACCCGATCTATGCATGGGGCTGCCCCAATGCAGAGAAGCCCTCGCTGTAGAGGTGGGCTCACCCTGGGCTTGCTTCGCCTGCCCTCTTCCATGCCTGGGGGACAGAGGCGGAGAACTTTCCAGTAGGAGGTCAGATGGGGGGATTGCTGCTATTCCTCAGGCTGGTGGCCAGTGTGGAGAGGATGGGGGGTTAACACTTTGTTATGGGGAGAGTTCCTGGGTCAATCCGGGGCCTGAGGGCTGTGTGATCATTTGCTGAGAAGCCACCAAGGGTCAGACCAGGGGTTCACCGCATGGGCTGGATTTGCCTGGACGCGCGCACCACCGCCTCCCTACAC